TAGAAAATAATTAATGTGATCAAAGGGACTGTGAGAGATACAGTATCGCTTACTGACCTCCAAAGAACACTTCTACTCGATTCATATTTTTATTCGTAATACTGTCGATGTCGAATAAATTAAGTTTGTTTTAAAGGGCAAGCGAATCGACATTTTTATTTGTAAACATAAAATGCAACATTAAGCTAGTAGGTTTCTCTTACAAAAGTCTAGAAAAATTATACTTTAAGCTGGAATGCGAAGGAATTTTTTCTCTACGATCTTTTCCTAACTTCACTTGAAACAGAGCTGTAGCCTGTCCCAGTTGTCGGAATCACCCTGTATATGGTGATGCACATGCGAATCTCAATTCCAAAGCGATTCGAAGTTCTTCAATACTGTGAAAATTCGAATCACTTCGAACCTAACTCGATACTTAAAACTCTAGAAAGTCTTAAATCTTGAGCTTCGATAGGTCTTGAAAGTTTTGATAGGTCTTCAAAGCTTGGTGAGTATTCGATATCTTGAATATTTTATGTCAATGATACTACTTGGATAATGGCATTCAAAATGCTTGAAAGATAAGTACTGAATACTTAGATTTTAACACTTTGAAATCTATCAAGATTTTCAAAACTTCTAAGACTTTAAAGACGTATCGAAACCTTAAAGATTGAAGGCCTATCGAGACTCAAAGATTCAAGATTTATCAAGACTTCCAAAACTTTCAAGTATCGAATCACGTTCGAAGTTATTGAATTACGAAACTTACCGAATGTGAACTAAATCTAAACAGTCATTAGAAAATTATTAAGATCCAAAAAAATTATTCAGATTGGAATCTCGTAGTGTAAAAATCACATATATTTTTACTGATACGTATACATTGTCACTTTAACACTTAACACTAGCACTAGATAATTCATACTTCTGTTATAACTTCATTCATGAGTTTTAAAAAAAAGATAACAATTTAATTTTACTTCTTTTCGTTGCACTTGTTTGGACGTTATTATCTTCTGACGTAGTAAATAATCGGCATATGCGTGTAATTTTTTTGTATAAGTTTAAACTTGAAAAAGCTACTTTTTTTAAAGAAAAAATATTGAAAGCAATCCACGGTACAGAATATGAAATTTTGCCACATCCTCTGGTATTCACTAGACCTTTTCCTAATAGACTCCTTCAAACACCTGAACAATAATTTTTCTAACAAATAAATGTTTCCAAAATGAAGACACTGTAAAAGTATCTAACATTCAAACGGGGTTTTCTAGTGTGACGGCCGTTTTTGTAGGCCTTTTTTGCTAATTTATTACAGAAGTACGGTAAAAGTTATTAACATGAGCTTTATTCCTATGCATTTACTTGTCCTTGAAGAATCATTACAAATTTTTTTTGTTGAAAAATAATTAAATATGGCTGCTGTGGAACACGTCAAACAGGAGCATGAAAAAAAAAGTAGGTCCATGGTTGCCATGATTTGAGCTGTTCTGTTTATCAGAAATAAAAAAATCCAATTGGTTCTCATTTAGTATGCATGTCGCTATGGTTGGTAGTAGAATAAAAGAAAAATATTGAAAATTAAAAAAATGGCGGTACTTTGAATACGAAGTATCCATTTCTTCGACTTTTTTTTGTCTTTCAGAGGCTCTAAAAATCAGAATAATATATATTTTGGCATAATTCTACTACCGACCATAGCCACACCGTTTAAAGTTTTCAGTGCAATTTAGATTCTCCCTTGATGTGTCACACTGAACGAGCTATAACTTCGTTATTTTATTCAATACAACTATAAAACTTGAGGGGTACATTCTTAATGAGTTGTACTTTCGATATATGCAAAAAAATAAAAATTGATTTTTTGAAACCGTCACACTAGAAGACCCCCTTAAAGACTAATGATTTTTATATATTTACAATAATGAAACTAGTTAATCGTTGGGAAAAGTACAAAAAATCATATTGCAATTATTTTTTGAAGAAACATAAAGCAGCTAAAGTTTCATTTAAACAAAAACGACGTTTCATATGCACCAATCAAATATTTTCTGTATGAAAATAATAGGTGTCCCAATACTTACGAACGACTGTGTACATATTCGAAGAGATTCGAAGTGTTTCAACGTTTTCATCACTATCCCTATATAAATATAATTTAATTTATTTACACTGTGTGTAGTTACACCGAATCGGGCCAAAGCTGTTGTTCAACGGCGGCATCCTGACGGCAGGGACCTGCGCTATCTTTTTCGGCCTGTTGGACAAAGTGGACGGCCATTATCCCTTCATAATACTCTCGTTTGTGATTAGGATCATCGAGGCGATGGGTAACGCGGCCTTTCTTACAGCCAGCTTCGCCATTATCGCTAAAGAGTTCCCGGATAATATCGCCACGACCTTCGCCAGTTTGGAGACCTTTTTCGGTTTGGGTCTCATTGTTGGCCCCACTGTGGGCGGCGCTCTTTATCAGGTAAGCTTGAAAATATTTGTCTCGATCCATCTTTCGCAGGAAAAGTATACTCGCGGTAGCTGTTTATGGATCGCACGTGTTTCTTTGACCCTTTTTTTTCCTTCGAACAGACGGAAGTCTAGGTTCAAGTTAATGGTTTTAACTCGTTGAAACATTCATGGGTACAATTTCGAGGGGATTAGGAATACAGTAAATTCTCCACAAGTGTCAGTTCGCAAGGAACCTAAACCTGACACTTGTAGAGTCAGGGCTACGTTTTCGAGCCTCGCGCCCGCCTTTGTACAATAGTTTGCCGAACGTAGACAAGGACAGAGAATAAAAGATAAGGATGAAACGTGAGTCGAGGCAACCAAGCGACTTAAATACCAACTTTCTTAATTTTACGTTTGTTTATCCCGAAATTTTTCTTAACATATTCATGAGATTTTTCTGATAAAAATGACATCAAACGCGACATAATTTGAACATTTACTTATTGACACGTTCACTGTCTGGCGTGACAAAATTATATCGTGTTTGATATCATTTTCATCAGAAAAATCTCACCAACATGTTAAAAAAAAATTTCAGATGAAAAAAGTAAAATTATATTTTTCTATTATGAATTGTCGAGCCGTGAAATCTCGTAAAAGAAACCGAGTGGTGTAGCGTTACTCGCTTGACTGACAGCGAGCGAGGATAACATAGGCGTAGGACTATCTATACTGACACTTGTAGAATCCAAACTGACTGACACTTGTAGAGAATTTACTGTAATGGGCGTTTCCAGAGATATTTTGGGAAAACAATGGATTGTCGAAATTTTGTGGATTTGTTTTTACATCGTGAGAATTATTGTAATGTTGAATGAAGCACTTTACATTGGAACGAATATGGTCTTTATTTGAATGAATTCTATTCTTTAAAATGTTTAATTTTTCGTTCTATGGAAATTGGGTCATTTTGACCCAGAATCGAGTTGAGAATGGATCGTACAAATTAATGGTTAATGGTTAATAATAATGATCGAAAGAGAGAAGAAACTCAATGTTTACTCATTTTTTCACGACTGCCACGTGACATATCAGTTAAAAATATTCCAGGAAATTCAAGAAAATTATGTAGCAAATGTTTCTGAAAATACACGTCCCTTGAAATTAGGTAAAAGTGCATGATATTCTCTGTACCCATAAACAAAGTAGATAAGTGCTGATAATTTATTAAATTTTTATGTAAAAAGCACAAGAATTATTTTAATAAAATATTAAAATTTAAATGCTGAAACAATTCAAGAAATTGTGTTTTATTTATATGTTGATTTCTTACCAACATGCGATATCGAGTCAGTTTGACCTTTTGACCTGACAATGGTAGATTTACAAATTTCGTCCAAGGGTTAATAAAAAACATGGAAGCAGGTAGCAAATTGTATTACTTTATTTATGATTCTGAGCCTGATAATTTTGACTCTGAATTATTCTTTATTAATGTTATAGTATATTTGCAGTTTAAAAGTAATTCGAATTCTGTAATTTTATAAGAAATAAAATTGATATCAAA